TTTTTTGTAAAATGAAGTACTTCTTAGCCATAAAGAATGAGAAATTAGAGACATTTATAGCTAAGTGGATGCACATTGAGGTGATACTTTTTTTTTTTTTTTGGTACCAGGGATCGAACTCGGGTCCTTGTGCTTGCGAGGCAGGCGCTGGAACCACTGAGCTAAATCCCCGGCCCAAGGTGATACTCTTAAGTGAAATAAATAGGACACACTTGTGTAAATACTGAATAGTTTCTCTGGTGTGAAAAAATAAAAATGTAAATAAGAATCATAATGTATAATTGATATTGTGAAATAGGAAGAAAATGTCTAAAGGAATAGGGGAAATGGGAGGGGCAGGGGAAAGGAAAGAAGGGAAAAGAAACAATATAAGAAAAAGAAAAACATGGAAATAAAGTCTTTGTAAATAGGGAAGGGTGGAGGGGTGATGGGAGGGCAGAGGAATGGGAAAAAAATAAGAACCAAGATCCATCATGTAAAGGTACAAGATCCCAATGAGGAATATAACTGTATTGTATACCTAAAATGTACCAATATACTAAATGGGGAAAAAAAGGTCTGATTTTTAAAAAAATTCTTTATATAGTCTACATATTTGTTTTGTTTTGTTCTGGTGCCAGGGATCGAACTCAGAACCTTGCACTTGTGAGGCAGGTGGAGGCACCACTGAGCTAACTCCCCAGCCATATATAGTCTGTTGTCGGAGGAACAACTGGCAAAACATTTTTCCCATTCTAAGTGTTGTCTCGTCACTCTCTTATATTCTAAATAAATGCCTGAGGGTTCTCACTCCCAGTGCTACTCCTAGGAGTTTCCCTAGTGCTGGGTGCTCTTGTTTGAATATCCTCTCTGGTTTTCTCGGTGATTGAACTAAGTCTTGTCTCTGAGTAATTTTTCTTTCTCTACGCAGCTATGGTTGCACACTGTGATAAGTGTTGCCCAAAGTGGGGTACAATAAAACAATTCAGTACAAAGGACCGGCCTCCCAAGGATGTATCCAACTTCATCCTGGTAAGGGGACATAGGCCACAGAATAGCCTGGCATGTCTTGGCGAGGTCAAAGGTTAGGTTTATCAGCCTTAAGGATTAGGTCTAAGTTTAGAGTTAGGTTTAGGCTTATGGTTATGGTTAAGGCTAGAACTTGTGCTAGGGTTTCATTTTGTTTTTGTGTATGGTTAGTGATATGTTAGCTTTAGGGTTAGTGTTAGCTTAGGGCTAGAACTAAGGTTAGGTGTTAGGTTTAGGGTTAATGTTAAGGCTAGGGCTAGGGGTTAGGGTTAGTGTTAAGGTAGATCTAGGTTTGGGGTTAAAAAATTATGGTTGCTGACTCAAACTTTTTGTGGTTCTGCTCTACCTATAGAAATGAATGGAAGAATAGTACATTAAGTGCCATTTTTTTGTACAAACTATTAGAGCTCTCAGTGTTGGGGTAAAGAGTAGATACACTAAATAGAGTTTGGCTGTGCTCTCTGGAATGTCTGCCTATCTTCTGTACCGATATTCAGAGTGCATGTGTATCAGGCCTCTGTAGTGATGTGGCCTAAAATGTGCTATTCTGTTCCCTTGAAATCCAGAAGGCTACATATCCCTCCAGAATGAACCCTATGTTAGAAGACTGATATCACAGATTTGTTCTATTTTAAATGAAGGTTGCAGGATTGGATTTTCCTTAGCACTCTTATTCCCATAGAAGTAAATGTTTATAGTTAGGGGTTAGGGTTAGGGCTAGGGTGAGGGGTAGAGGTTAAGCGTAGGGCTAGGGCTAGGGCTAGGTTTAGGTTTGATGTAGGCATAGGCATAGAGCTATGGCTATGGCTATAGCTATGGCAAGGGTTAGATTTAGGATTAGGTTTTTATTAGGGTAAGGAACATGGTTAGGCTCAGGGCTAATGTTAGGGAAAGTGCTTAGGGCTAGGGCTAAGGCTAGGGCTAGCATTAGGGTTAAGGTTAGTGTTAGTGATTATAGTGTTTGCTTAGGGTTTCATTTTTTTTTTTTTTTGGTACCAGGGATCGAACTCGGGACCTTCCGCTTGCAAGGCAGGCGCCGGAACCACTGAGCTAAATCCCCAGCTTTTTTCCTTTTTTGAAAGGGTCTCACTATGTAGTTCAGGTTGGTCTTGAACTCACTATGTAGCCCAGGCTGCCCTTGAACTCACAGCAATCCTTCTGGCTCAGCCTGAGTATTATAGGTGTACACTACCAAGCCTGAGTTGGTTAGGGTTAATGTTAGGGCTATGGCTAGTGTTAGTCTTATGGTTATGGTTAGGGCTAGGGCCAGGTTTGGGTTAGGGGTAGGTTAGGTTTAGGGCCGAAGTGAGGGTTGGGGGTATAGACCAGATACAGGAATGGACTTTGCCTGTCCTCTCTGTTGTCTGCCTATCTGATGTGCTGTCATATCTGGCTTTCTTGTCTTAATTGGCCTGTTGTCTGGCAACCACCTGGACTTGGGTCTGATAAATTATACCTGAGGCAACCCAGAAAGGTATAGTCACCTGCCCAAAGGCTATTTGCCAGTAATGGCAGAGATTGTCCATTGACCTGATTTGAGTTACACCATTTTTCTACATGAAAATTTAAAGGAATCCTCCATTTTGCCTAGGGTTAAAGACGCTAGAACTGCACATAGGGCATCAAACACAAGCTATTCCTGAGGCAGCCCGAGGGGTGAGGCAGGGCTCTGGAGCAGGACCAAAAGCACTAGGGATCAGCTCCTGTAAGGACCTGCACTCTGCAGCCAGCCAGCTGGGCTCAATCCCGCCTCATGTGACTGCAGGTTACCTCAGTTTCCCATTCTAAGCTTTGGTTCAAGCGTCAGACAAGAATTCAGATAGGAGAGGGTCATTTAAGGTCGTCCCGACACCAGCTCTGTAAGAGCCCTCCAGGTTTCCCACACGCTTCTTCACTCTCATCTTTGCCAGTGGCTTGGAAAAGTAACCCCTTTGGGGAAGAGTTCAAACTAAGATGTATGGGCCCTCTATACTTCTTGCTGTAGGGACTGACTTTACTTGGTTCTCTAGAGAAAGAGCTGAAAACTTTTCCTCTGTGACCCTCAAAAGACCCTGTACTTTATTTTCTCCTGGGGATTGTCACTGCAGCTTCTGTGCATCGAGTCCGTTTGGAAAGTAGAGTGGGCCAAGAGAGCTGTTCTGAGGAGAACAAGGGTCATGTAGTCTGAACAATTGTCTTCTGTGAGAAATTGTCTTCCAAACTACACACACACCCCTGAGGTCCAGCAGGAACTGGTGGAAAACAACCCAGAGGAAGTGCAGCTGTTCCCTCGGAGGAGCACTTGGTGGGGGGGAGGCTGGCCTAGGAAGAGGGGCTGTTCCCCGGGTGGTGACATGCAGCATTCCTTTCACTTGAGGCATCTGTGCCCCAGGAGCTGCAGTCTCCCTTGGGGAATATGACACAATTGAAGGTGGGAAGGGCATCACAAAAACAGACAAGTGCCTTTGCACACATCCTTCTGCAAAGGAAAACCCTTCCTGTCTTGTGCTAGAATTCCCAGGTCTGCCCAGGATCAACTGGCACTGTCTCCAGCCAGACAAACACCTGACACCAGTGATCTGGTAGGATGTGTTTGTATTTACACGGTACATCTTTAAAGCAATGGCTACATTGGTCATACATATTAGAAACCATAAAAAAAAGTTAAGAACTAAAATGTACATCATACACTTGTATATATATTTTTTACACAGAGGTAAAAAGGCTTATTATAAAAAAAATCAATACAACAGGGTTTTTAGTATACAGGTAAAGAATGAATTATGCTTCAGGCACTTTCATTTGTTAATGTGAGCAAATAACTTGGGGGGTGGGGCACTGGGGGAAGCCTCCAAACAAAATCTTTTGGTTAATGTTTGTTACCACAGATACAAAAATAAAATCTGAATAATTCCTCTCAGATGATTGATGTGAGTATGGCAAAGCTGACTGGGAAAATACTACACACTGTTCAGCAGCAGTGTGGCAATCAGAGAGACGTATTTACACAGATGTCCCCATGGTTGTCTTTGTGCCCTTAACCACTGCCTTCAAACCAAAGTGTCCACCGAGTAAGATTCACCAGCATAACTCTTAAAAGGGGTGGGCACTGGCAAGGGTAAAAGAAGAAAGAACAAGTAATGACCAGAGAGGTGACAAACACAAAGCCACTGGGATGTGTGTTTTCAGTGAAATAAATAGGGGCACTTGAACTGAGGTCTGAGAAAGCATACATTAGTGTTGTGCTTTGTAGAAAGGCGACCTTAGAGAAAGGCCCTGAGGAGACACCTCGGGCTCAGGGCAGATAGATGGTCTCTCCGCAGCATTAGTGGCTGGGTGAGCGTTTTCTAGATGTTCCTCTGGCACGGAAGGGTTCTTTTCTTCCATTGATCCAGGCGGACTGCTCTCTGCTCTTTTTCCACACTGGAAAGCCCCAACCAGTCATCCCAACAGATGAAAACATCTACCAACTAACTCATAAGCACACTGGGTATTTACACTGATGATCTGTCTAAAGAAATGGGATGGGCTCTCAGGCGAGCTTAAAACACTCCCATGAAGGTAAGCATGGCTAGCATTTTCCCATAAGACTGGCAGACTGCAAGAAAGTCCCTTTCCTTGAAGACTGATGTCCTGTGTGCAATAAAAGGATGAGGGAAGGGAGGAGAGGAGACCAGGCCATGCCTTCAACTGGCAATTACCACCGGAAGACTGTGGCGGGAAGAACAGCCAGCGTCAACAGGCCTGTCCCCTGTGGTCTCCAAGAGGTTCTGATTGTACTATGCTAGGTACAAGTAACCATTCTTCACGTTTCTTCTTTCTTTAATAAGATTTGGCTATTCCTTGCAATATGTTACAAAAATACTCTTTTCCAGCTAACTAGAAGCCTCCTACATGGCAAGGCAACAGGTAGAATCAGTCAGCTGACCTAACCATCTATGCACCCGAAGTGGCAAGTCTGGGTGTGAAGCTGCAGGAGAAAGACACTTAGGCATTGGAAGGGTTTTTACATATGGCCTTGATTTTTCCTAAGTATAAATTAAGAATTTGGTGACGAGAAATTGAGTCCAAAATGAAAACAAAAACATAATCCTACGAACAAAATGCAAACCACCACTCTTCAAATTTATGACATTTAAAATCCCCCCTGGTTAATATAAAACAGTAGCAGGGTAGGGGGGGAAGCTCCTATAGTTTTATTCACCACAACCTTAGTGTTTTTCAACAGGAACTTGTTTGTAGAACACCAGTTGGTGTTTGAATAGACTACTTGGTTTTCAAAACAATGAGCAAAATTTCTGACTTCATTAGCATCTTATTCTAATATTGCTAAGTTTTTTACATGTGGTGGCAACACAATTTTAAAAAGTTCTATTTCATGGGTAACTGGGGAGGCTCACAGAAACCTGAAATCCCCTTTTAAGCCCTGGTCCAAGAGGATGTGATGCAGTTTAAGGAATTTTTCCTGATTCTCACAAGTTAATCTGAAGTTAAGGCTCAATTCTCGGTCATTTTACAGGTGAATGTTTTGCATCAGTGAATAAACCCAACAGATTTTGGGTGGGTGGGGCAGAAAAATGTAGACGGGCTAAAGATAGAACTGTAGCTTACATGGGAAATTTGGCTTTAGACAAGTGAAAGCTGTATTGTCTCGTAGTATAAGATTGTTGACAAGCTCATCTCCTATACATAATAACTGACCGCAGGTTAGAATACTTCTGGTAGGTTTGTTTCATCGCTCAGTCATGTCTCCACAGGAACCTGATGCTGGCCAGCAACAGGCACCACCCGAGAGAAAGATGCTCTTCAGTGCTTTTGGAAAAAGCAGCGACAAAACCCACCAAAAATCAGCAGTTTGCACTGCAGATCCTTTTGAACTGGAAGAGACAGGGTGGGAGGAGAGACAGGAAAATCAACACATGGATAAGACAGCTTGAGTACAAGCTGGTAATAATACAGGAGAGTCTATGAGAAAGGTTCCTTTCCTTAGAACACTGTGCGAGAGTGTGTATGAGTGTGTGGCGGACTCGGCGGGTGCTGGGGAGCGGAGAGTCCACCCGGTTGGTTCCCCAGGCTGGAATGGTGCCTCTCCTCGCCCCTTGGAGTAGAAGGGAGCAGGGGAGAAGATGAGAGTATGTAAGAGACGACAAGTTCTCTTGTGGCTGTGGATGGAGGAGGGGAAGGAGGGGAAACTGAGTCAGACGGCCGCTTTGTGCTTCCCCCCGCAGCACCTGCACATCACTCCGCAGTGGTAGCAGGCCCGAAGGGGCAGGTAACAGCACATACAAGGGGCCAAGAAAGACAAGGCAATAAGAGCCATCCACCGGAGGCAAAACTTCTCGTCGCTAGTGTCGCACGAGCAAGGGTCTGTATAGTCTCCCTCGGGGTCCGACATACAGTGATAGAGCATGCTGTCCGCACACCACATACAGCTCACGCGGCGGATGCAAGTTCTCACGGAGTCGGGCGCATCCTGACAGTGGCCCCTCCGGTTCTCCTCGTGGTTGAACATGTCCCTGCAGTACACGCAGCGCGAGCGCTCGCCGTCCTCCTTCCTCCGCCGGGACTTGCCCCGGGGGGGCTGCGTTTTGATCACGCTGCCCCCGCGGCCTTTGGGGTCCTCGCGGAGGCCGAAGTCTGAGGAGTCCACATAGGGGTAGTTGTAGTCATGCTTGGGGACCTCACCCTTGGCGAAGCGCACGTAGGAGTCCGCATCCTCTGAGGTGTCCAGGTACTTGCCTCTGATTGGCGCGTGCCGATAGTCCTCGTAGCCCGTCATCCAGATCTTCTCCCTGGGGTTGATGCGCACGATCTCCTCGTCGTCATCTGGGAAGCTCACCTGTGGATAGGGCCTCGGCATCCGCTGCCCCGCCCAGGAAAAACGAGATGCTGTTTTATAGTAGTGGCAACACGCGCGCGCACACGCACCCCACCCCCAACTCTTCCTTCCTCAGTTGGCCAGAATGTACCTTTCACTTCAACCCCCACCTCCCTTTTCCCTCCGGTACCAGGGATCAAACTCAGGACCTTGTTTTCGAGGCAGGCCTGGTGGCACTGAGCTAGATCTCTGATCCCCCTCAACCATTTCTTTAAGAAAGGCTTTTTGTAATTATTTTGTTGGCTCTGGCATGACCCACTAGTCAGATGCAGGCTGCACAATTTACTAGCAAAGCACCAAGACCTAGTTTCCTTGTCTGTCAAACTGCACAGGGCTGCTGTGAGAATGGAAGGAGACAGCCCATGATGAGCTCAGTGCCTGACACACACAGGATGGCTAGGCCTGTTGCCACCACTGCTACTATAATTCTGTGCAGAACTGATCACACGATTTGCCTATCACTTCCCAGGAAGCCACGGGCTCCCTGAAGGCAGGGGCCGTGTCTCATTTGTTTTGCTCTATTTTCCCCATCAGATTCTCCAAAAGAATTTTTTTAAAAAAACGAAACTTTTGGCCAGGGATTTAGCTCAGTGGTTCCAGCACCTGTCTCAAAAGCGCAAGGACCCAAGATTGATCCCCGGTACCAAAAAACAAAAACAAACCATGAAATTTGGTATACTGTTTAAAAAACAAAAACAAAAACGAGACTTTCCTAATTTTCTTTTTTCTTTACTGAGCAGCAGTTCAGTAAATATTTGTTGAATTACTGAATTCCAGACTTGAGCTCCATTTCCCTAAGCAAGACTGTGCTGCATTTTTTGTTGTTAGTACTAGGGATTGAACCCAGGGCTTTCACACTAACCTACATCCCTAGGCCTTTTTTTTGTGTTTTACTTTGAGACAGAGTTTCCCTAAATTGTTCACGAAAGGCTCAAATTTGCATCTTCCTGCCTCAGCATCTCAGGGAAGTGCAACTTCGCTGGACTTCAAGCTAAGTTTGTAGCATCCTTTAGCCTGGATCATGGCCCTGTGCAAGCCAGGAGGCCCTTCCAACAGAGGACCAGCAACACAGCACTCTGGCTGAGGACACAGAGATCTCAGTTGCGTCCCTCCAGACACCCCGTGTGTCTACCACTTCCTCACCCATCACCTGGGGATGCCAACAACCTGCCTTGTGGGGTGATCTGGGAGGCATGTAAAGGGTGGGGGCCACAAAGCAGGGGAGCGGGAGGACCTGGGGAAGGGCATCTGGCTGAGGAGGAGGGGAGTGAGACGGTGGCTCACCGGGTTGAGGTGATAGTGGTCTGTGGAGTATGGGTCGAGGGTATAAATCCTCCGATGCTCACAGGATGTGGGAGAGGAGATTGTCCGAGTAGGTTGTTCCCTCTTCTGAGAGGAATTAGAAGAACTGTCCGTAGCTGTCTGTTTAGAGGGAAGTAACCAAGAGTAATTAAAAATTTAAAACAATTAAAAGAGTAATTAAAAAACACTAAGCTGGGGGCTTAGTGGCACACTCCTGTGACGTCAGCTACTTGGGAGGCTCAGGCAGGAGGATGGCAAGTTCAAGGGCATCGCTTCTTGGCCTTTTGGCTAAGATCAAGTGCAAGACCACCCTGGGCAACTTACTGACACCTTGTCTCAGAAGAAAATTTTAAAAATACAAGGGATGGGCATATAGCTCAGCACTCTTTGGAGTCAATCCTCAGTACTGTAAGAAAAGCAAAACCACACCTAGCCTAACATGCATCATTCCCATACCATAGACTTCCCCAGTTGTGGTTTCTTGTGGGACTTCCACAGCCTTGAGTTTCTCTGGTCATGGTGGGTGGACCCCTGGAAGGGCTAGGCTGCCTAAATCTGATGTGGCTGGCTCAATGGGTGAAAGAACTAGCCACCAGGCTCAGGAAATCGGGGCTTGTTTTCTCAGATGCGGGAGCAGCGGTGGGCTCTAGGGAAGGATCCAATATGCCAGGCCCCCACTGCTGTGGCCCCGCTGACAGGCACTATGGCAAATAGGGGAGAAGCACATAAGTGAAAATAAAACTCAAATACAGTATGTATGTGTGGCCTGGGGAGGTCTCAGAGAACAATACCTCTGGGGTATCACGCGTCCTAGCTTTCCAGGGAGAATTTTATAATCTTTGGGGCTGCAAACAAGTCTTGGAGGCCACTTTAAACTAGAAGCAGGGAGCATGATTGGACAGAACCAGGGCAAGTGCAGAGCTGCTTTCCCCAGCGAGGTGACATTATAATTAAGCAACCATAACTGGATCTTTGGAGGTCACAAGACACCAGTGTGGTCTGTGGCTGTGGGGAGAACACAGGCAAGCCTCTGCCAGCTGGCCGTCCACCCAGGTGATCTGTGTGCCCACTGAGACTCCGTGGAGCAGGCCACTGACACTCCACAACCCGCTGGTCCCCCTCGGAAGGGGGTCTGTGGAATGCATCTGGTAACCACCCTTAAAGCCAGAGCCCCCCAGGACCCCATCTTAACTTCTGTTTCCTTAGAGAGATAGATCGCCTCTTGACATCCCATCCCAGCAAACAAGCAAAACAGATAAAAAGAAGACTTCTTTTTGTGGTCCTGGAGATAGAATCCAGGCAAGTGCCCTGCCCACCACTGAGCTACATCCCAGCCCAGGTTTTTCTTGATATTTAGGTGTCCTGTTTTCAGCAAATCTAAAGAAACACCTCCTTGGCTCTTGCTTCTTACTCTTACAATCACATTTCTCTCATTTGCCAATCTACCTCTTTTTATTTTTATCCTTTTCTTTCTACATGTTTTTGTCAGCTGTCATAAGTCCTAAAGACATCCACATTTCCATTATGCAATACAGCCACTGTTTCTTCTTTTTTTATGGTACCAAGGTTTCAGCCCAAGCCCTGGCATACGCGAGGCAAGTGCTACACTGAGCTACATCCCCATTCCTTTTTATTTTTTTAAATTTTGAGACAGGGTTTTGCTAAGTTGCTCAGGTTGACCTTTAACTTGTGATTCTGTCTCAGCGTCCTGAGTAGCTGGGATTATAGGTGTACACCATTATGTCCAGCTTCCGCTATTAATTTTTAAAACTTGATAAACAGAGCCGGGGATTATTTCGCTCAGTTGTTCTGCCACCTGTCTCGCAAGTGCAAGGTCCTATGTTCGATCCCCAGTACCAAAAAAACCCCACAACTTGGTAAACAGGTGCACTATCCCTTTGGGGGGACCCATCCCATCTGGATTTTTCTCTACTTCTGTTTGGGTCATGTGATTAGAGGCTGCTGTCTATTTCTAATCCCCTAATCCACGGTGACCAATTCCACTATGGATACACAGTCCTCCTGGATGCAATACAGGGAGGTCAGGAAAGCTGCTGGCTCCATCTCTGATGTCAGGATCCAAGGCCCCCTGAAGGTCCCCAGAATCCTGGCAAGCTGCAGGGACAGAAGTTTTCTGAGGATGAGATGAAGGAGACCACACTGTACCACTGGCTCGGATCATGTGAACGCGCAGGCAGGACCTCAGCCATAGCAAAGCCCGGCAGGTGACAAACTATCGCCATGTTACACATCAGCACAGGCAGAGTGAGAGAGGAGGGCTACCACCCGGTGTAGCACGAAACCACTGACAGAGCTGGGACTGCAATGCAAGCCCCTCCTCCCTGCCCCAGGCGCAGTGGGATTTCTGCCTCTTAGGTGAACCCTCTTACAATTCCTACCCCGTGAGGCGTTTTGTTGAGATTATCACAAGTGCGGCTTCTGTAAGTAAGAAGGTGCACTCTGCTTTATATAAACCCAGGAGTTAAGGGGATGATGTCTCACAGAGGTTTCTAAAGATCTCAATAAATATCTTTTGAATGAGAACATAAGGGCTCTTCACTGTGATTCAAATCTCAAGAGTTAAATTCCTGTCCAACTTCCACATTAAAGTCATCCACAAGGTTACACATAACCCTTATATTAAACACCCCAGCATTTAGTTCCCAGAAACCCAGTGAACACGTCACATCATGGTCACCTCTGTTAGTCATCTATTCACCCTAGTCCACCCTATCTTCTGTGACCTATGCTCAGGATAACAATGTGTGGAAAGTCATTTTGAGAAATGAGGCACACCCAGTTTTCCCAGTATTCATTAGCCACTCCACCACCTTTGGGTGTACCCGTCCTACCCCTTACCCCTGCTCCCGTGGTCTCTTCCCACTGCAGTCAAGTGCAAAGCTCCCACATGTTCAGTGTCAGTAGACGTGAGAAGCTTGTGTGTGGCCCACCTCCCCCTGAGGGCATTGCTGAGGTCCCTCAGGTAAGTTTCTGCTCAGCCCAGCCTTCCATGCCCCACTGCTCTGGTCTGTCTGCACTCCTGGAAGGAGGGGAGGGAAGAGCAGCTCCAGGGGAAGCCGAGGCTGATTTCTGATCTATTCTACCTGACAAATCTTGCCAACTGGCGTGGTGACCTACAAATGAAAAGATGTACTGTCAGGGTATCTCCAAGGCCAGGGACAAGTCTCCCTCTTGCCACATGTCCCTCAGAATGGAACAGGCTCTCCCGTCGCCCTGTTGTGGTTCCCACAGGGCCACAGGAAGGCACTCCCTCCCTGAGGTATGCACAAACACACATAATCGAGCAGGATTCTCAAACATCCTCTGCTATTTGTGTGGATAAGCAAACGACACGTCCCAATCTAGCAATTCAACCGTGTGGCCTGCAAGAAGGGGTAATCACATGCCCTCTGGCTGTCTTCAAGTTGCTCTGCTCTCTGATGAGTATCTCTAAACCATCAGGGCTTTGAACTTGAAGAACAGAAGCAGAGACCAGTACTCTGGGCTCAGGACCTCAGGCTTCTAAGAGGGACAGCAAGGCTGGCACTGTCTTCTGGACACAGGGAACTGTGTGATGTCTTGTGTACCAGGATGCAGCCACCACACTCCTAGACATGTGCAAATGCAACCTCCAAAATAACTTGCATCTGGATTTCACTCTGACTCAATGTTGATGCCCATTTGGGCCTAATAAGGGGCTGAAGAAGAGGAACACAGTGGGGTGTTACAATGCTAAAAACAATAGGGTCTCAGCTCAGGTAGACTAGATTTGAATCAGTCTAATTCTAAGGTGTGTAAGCTAGGTCAACTCTAACTCCAGTTTTCACATCTACAAAATGGGGCTGAAATGAGATTTAAAATGCCAATTCCCAAACTGACTGCTGATATACTGGCAAGTTACTGAGCTAGATTGCAGATCGGCACCGGGCCACTCTGCTTAGCTAGCTCCCTTATGAAGCCTCAAATTCTTTATCAAGTGACTCTAGATTTTTCTGAGTATGTCATTTCATCCATAAAAGACACCTTGGTCTCCTTTCTGATAGTTAACCATCTTTTAATTATCCTAGTGGCCTTTTGGCAGGGCTTTCAGTATGACACGGAAAAACAAGCGCCCTGTTTGTCTCCAACCCGACTTCCATGGCACAACTTCTAATGATTCTGTATTCAATGTGATACTTTCAGATAATTGGAGTGGTTATAAAATTCCACAAGTTTCCTTCTGTTTTAGAGCTAAAGAGCTTTTACCAGAAGATGTTGGAGGCCACCACACTACTTTTCTGTACCTGCTGAGATGGTTACACAGTCCCTTTTGCCTCCCTGGAAAAGATTCTAATGGTACTTTATTAAATTTGTATTACTAACACTTGATGTGATTTTTAAAATATAAGTATGACCGAAAAATACAGTGAATGTTCAAAATTTTTTTTTTTTTTGTACTGGGGATCCAATTCATGATTTTGTGTTTGCAAGTCAGGCGCAGTACCACTGAGCTAAATCCCTGGCCCTGAATTAATTTAAATTAAGTTAAATTTAATTTAAGTTAAATTTTTAACTTTATTACAGTATCACTGTAGCTTTGTCTTTGTTGGCCATAATTGACTTTGCTATTCTAGATCTCTTCTGGTTCCATGTGAATTTTAGGGTTGTTTTCTCTAATCCTGTGAGATAGGCTGTTGGGATTTTGATTGGGATTGCACTGAATTTGTGTCACAATTTTGGAAGTATGGTCATTTTCACTATATTGGTTTTTCCTATCCAAGAACAAGGGATATCTTTCCATTTTCTTTTTTGTTCCTTTGGTACCAGGGATTGAACTTGGGACCTCGTGCTTCCGACACAGGCAGTCTTTCCATTTTTTGATACCCTCTTCAATCTCCTTTTTCAGAGTACTGTAGTTTTCAGTGTAGAGGTCTTTTACTTCCTTTGTTAGATTGATTCCTAGGTATTTCATTTTTTTGGATGCTACTGTGAAAGAGATTGTTTCTCTAATTTCTCTTTCTGAGTCTGTTACTCGTATACAGGAAGGCTATTGACTTTTGAGTGTTGACACTGTATCCAGCTGTGCCACTGAATTTGGTTATCAAATCTAAGTCTTTTGGTGGAGTTTTTGGGGTCTTCTA